GGGGGGTGTATGCAGGTGTTGGGGGGGTGTATGGGGGTATTGGGGGCCGCTATGGGGGTGTTGGTGGTGTTATTAGGGGTTCTGGACCCCAAAAAAAAAACAATTAAAAAAAAAAAAAAACTTTTTTTTTTTGCGGGGTGCCGACGACCCCCGACCGGTAGGTGCCGACCAGTCAAGGGCCGCCAACCGTTGGGGGATGCAACCCTGCTAAAGAGTCTAAAGGAATTGAGAATAACCATGACCAATGAGAACATACAAGAGAGCAGCTAAACCAGAATCAACGTCCGAATCCCTTTCTACTGTCAGCACAACAAGAGGTCCACCATAGCCATGGCCACCATCCTCTCTCTCCTTCATCTCTCTCCTTCATCCAGGCCGAGGCTATGGCGACTACTAAGAGCCTTGCCCTGACGTGCGAAAGACAACGTGAAGCAGCTATATGTCTTCTTCCTCTTCGGCCGCCATGCCTGACTCTGCCTCAAAGCTTCTTGATGCAGCACCACCCCAATTGGGGCCTCCCAGATGCAGCGCCTACCAAGGTGATGAAGATGGCATGCACCATAGCCAGGTAAGTACCCCTGGCGCTCCGCTCTCCTAGTTCCATTTTTCCTCCTCCTACCCGAGCTCCTCCACCATAGCCAAGGTGGAGAGCTGGGCATTCCTCTCCCCCACAGCGGTGCACATCAGCACTCCTCCAGGTGCGCCAGCAGTGTGATGCCCAAAGTTGCATGCGGCAAATGAGGAGGAGCACTTCGCTCCTCCTGGAGATATAGCGGCCAACCTGCCTCTTGGGCGGTGACTTCCAGGCTGAGCAGCCTCCACAGCAACCGGTACCTCCTCCCTTTCGGAGGCAAACATCATTGCAGGCTCTGATATCGTCCGCACAGGCCCTTGACTCAGACTCCTTGGTCTGGTACCCACCTAGACCTAGCCTACCGCTACTGGGCCTCTAAAATGCGAACTTTCTGTCTTCTTCTGCTCAGCCTACCGCTACTCAAGTGCCTACGGGCCTACACTACCGCTACTTGAGTGTGCCCTAAGCTACCCTTTCGGGCACGTGAGTGTTTTCCCCTGCTGCAACCCCAACGTCACGGCCACAGGTAAGTACCAGCCCTACGGGCCTTCCAAACAAATAAGTGCCCTGGCGGGCCGCACACACACTCAGGCCGACAAGCACTCAGGCAGGCATGCAGACCAGCAAACACGTACACACACAGACTTAGAAAACTCAGCAAAAAGCAGGAATCTCAGCAAAAAGCAGGAATCTCAGCAAGGCATTCATTCCAACGGCAAAACTCAGAAAGCAGCTGTGTTCTCTCAGTCCATGTTTTGGCAGGTCCTGACTCAAAAAAAAAAAAAAAAAAAAAAAAAAGAAGGAACCTTATGGTTCCGGCTCCTTGTCCATTCTGGGGAGCATCAATCCGGTTCCTATTCCACCGGCAAGTCAGAAATGATTACAATTAATACTCACTCATGCTCCTCCCCCTTGTGGTGTGGAGGTCCGAAGGACGGCATTGATTACTTCCCAACGGAAGGATGTACCTCCCTTCACCCCTGCCTAAGTTAGCCTGTTCTACTGGGAATCTGATCTTGACTTGTGTGTGGTGATAAAACCCTAAACCCTAGCTTATCACTAAATTTTGACTGCAGCCTGACTCTGGCGGTCGATTCCATATGATAGCCTGCTGTGGTTGCCGGGGCAGATCTGGATTCTGGGTATAGTTTATAGGTGGGTCTGTTTAGGTTTCGGTGGATGTAATCTTGGCAGGGTAGGTGTTGAGGTTCGGGGGGGGGATGGGTTAGGGGTTTTTGGATAGGCTCGGTGTACTGGGTAATGTAAGGAGGATGTGGGGGGGGGAGGGGGGGCAGTAGGAGCTGGTGGTGTTATAGATACTTTCGCTTGGGGGTGGGGGGGAGGGGGGGTTGGAGGGTGTGGGGTTGTTGGGGGGAGGGGGTCTTTACTATTTTGGTAGTGTGTTAGTGGTTTGTGGCCCAGGGAAGTTTGATGTGGGTATTGGCAAGCTGTGGTTCCTCCTTTGTCCACCTATTGCGTACTGTGTTGG